CAAAATGGTGATGTCCATCTATTACATTCAAACTATTGTTCCATAGGGAGCTATACTCCAAACAGCTTCTGCATGTTCACTTAGCTCTCAACTGCCAAAATTTTCTCAAAATGGTTGTAAAAATTCATGAAGCTATAGGACTGGGCGAAAACCATAGGGTCTAAAAGAATTCGGAAACTTACGTAGTTAATGTAAGGAAAACATCAAAGGTATTCTTTAAAATGGAGACATTTCAAGTACATTGGCATTTCTGGGGAATAAACAAATGGAGGAAACAAAAGAGTCAGGAGCAGAAGGTCACTATACAATCTCTAACACAAAGGCATGATCAGAGAACATGGAGACTAGGAGAAATGTTAGTAATTAATATAAATGGTTTTCATGCTGAAAGTGGTAATTTTTTTAGTGGGGTATACATGAAGTAATGTATGAGTTGGAGTACTATGATCTGGGAGGCTTGGCTAATTCACAAATTCTCTGAGCCTCAGTTTTCTTACTTGTTATATGGGGATCATAGAGTTTTTATGGGGTTGCTTGACCAGTGTCTTGCATAGGGTAGGCTATTAAGCACCAAGTGAATAAACATTGACTATATAAATAAATAAACAAATGAGTCAGAAAATATACATGAAAGGGTTTTATTAACAGGCAAGTGCTAAACAAACATGAAGGATTAGTGTTAAGATTGCATGTGCTTTGTCGCAGGGCTTTTCTCTGAGATCTGTCTTCTTCAAGTGGAATCCATGGCCAGTACAAGTAATGTGACTACATTGATTTTCACCGGCCTTTTCCAGGATCCAGCGGTGCAGAGAGTGTGCTTTGTGGCGTTTCTCCCCGTGTACCTGGCCACAGTGGTGGGCAATGGCCTCATCGTTCTGACGGTCAGTATGAGCAAGAGTCTGGATTCCCCCATGTACTTCTTCCTTAGCTACCTGTCCTTGGTGGAGATCAGTTACTCCTCCACTGTTGCCCCTAAATTCATCACAGACTTACTTGCCAAGATTAAAACCATCTCTCTGGAAGGTTGTCTGGCTCAGATATTCTTCTTCCACTTCTTTGGGGTTGCTGAGATCCTTTTGCTTGTGGTGATGGCCTATGATCGCTATGTGGCCATCTGCAAGCCTCTTCATTATATGAACATTATCAGTCGTCAACTGTGTCACCTTCTGGTGGCCGGTTCCTGGCTGGGGGGCTTTTGTCACTCTGTAATTCAGATTCTCGTCATCATCCAATTGCCCTTCTGTGGTCCTAATGTGATTGACCACTATTTCTGTGACCTGCAGCCTTTATTCAAGCTTGCCTGCACTGACACCTTCATGGAGGGAGTTATTGTGTTTGCCAACAGTGGATTATTCTCTGTCTTCTCCTTCCTCATCTTGGTGTCCTCTTATATTGTCATTCTGGTCAACTTGAGGAACCATTCTGCGGAGGGGAGGCACAAAGCCCTCTCCACCTGTGCTTCCCACATCACAGTGGTCATCTTGTTTTTTGGACCTGCCATCTTCCTCTACATGAGACCCTCTTCCACTTTCACTGAAGATAAACTTGTGGCTGTATTCTACACGGTCATTACCCCCATGCTGAACCCCATCATTTACACACTCAGGAATGCAGAGGTGAAAATCGCCATAAGAAGATTGTGGAGCAAAAAGGAGAACTCAAGGAAGGAGTGAAAAAGAGCTTAGGGATGAAAAGTGATACAAAATGTATGTCTGATTACTCTCTGTTCTTGAAATGGATTTTGATTTTAGTGGGATATTCAAGAACGACAGAAACAAATATAAAGGCTTAATGATACTGCTGCTGTGATTCTCCTTAGCAACCGAAGACACTCGGTATCCTGGTGTAATGTTTGAAGGACAGAGGGCAGATAGCAACAATATCATGGGCTTGGGTACTATGAAGCCTCAAACCAAGTGCAAATGCGAAGGAGAACATGTGGACAAATGTTTTTTAGATTAAATCACTTCGTCCTATTACCTCCTCCCTTCCTCACTTCTTTTCTTTCTCCCTTTTGCTCTTCCTCCTTCCTCCCTCCCTTCCTTCTTTTCTTCCTTCATTCTTTCTCCCCTCTTTGTTCAAACTCCCTCATGATAACAAACTGTATTTCATTAAAAAAGGAAACCAACCAGATGAATTATCAGGGAATATTTAGGAAGGGGGGCACCAATCTGATCTACAATGTTGACAAGTATGTCTTTGAAAATTACATCCAGGAAGGCCGGGCGTGGTGGCTCATGCCTGTAATCCTGGCACTTTGGGAGGCCGAGGCGGGTGGATCACGAGGTCAGGAGTTCAAGATCAGCTTGGCCAAAATGGTGAAACCCTGTCTCTACTAAAAACTACAAAAATTAGCTGGGCATGATGGCACATGCCTGTGGTTCTGGCTACTTGGGAAGCTGAGGCAGAAGAATCTCTTGAACTCGGGAGGTGGAGCTTACAGTGAGCCGCGATTGTGTCACCGCACTCTAGCCTGGGCAACAGGTCGAGACTCTGTCTCAAAAAAAAAAAAAAAAAAAAAAAAAGAGAGAGAAAATTATATCCTGGGACTACTTTTCTATTCTTTTTGGTTGGCTCTTGGTATCTTGTACCATAGACCATCTGGCCATGAGCCCCAGAAAAGTCCCTGGAGCAATTTTACTTCTTGTGACATGTTTTCACAAGAGATGGTCCTTCAATCTCTCTGGTCTTTATCACAATGTCTAACATTTGTAAACAAAATAATGTCAAAAAGACATAATTCTACCTATCAATATGGAAAGATCAAGTCAAATATTTTCACAAATACAATGTTTCACAAAAGCATTGTTAGTCTTATCCAGATGTGAAAAATACATAATGTAAGAAAATGCTTATTAGGCCTAACTTAAAGAATGAAGGGGAGGGTGATACTGTCCAAGCATGCTTCTACTCCAGACCTCTGTCCCTTGTTCTAAGTGACCATGAAAGGCCATTTCTTTTAATGCCTGTTAGTATTTCTTGGGGAAGGGAGATGAGATAGTTTGTGTCTGCACTTTTGGTTAACTTCTCAGCATCTCTGCCTTACCCCATTGTTTCATATAATTGTACATAATTTATAGACTATCATGAAGTTGGCCCCTGTTGGCTTTAAAATTGCACATATTGGCATTGAATTTGCATGACATCCTCCGCTTTTTCTTGAGAATCAGGCGAAATAATTCAGACAGCTTCCCTAGCAGAGGGATGGAGTATCATGGGTGTGCTATAGATCTTAGGGCTTTTTCCTTTCTATTGTAGGCACTGGTTGAACACATAGGTAAATAGTGGTTTTAAAGGCACCAGCAAACTTTTCTCACTTCCCTTAGTGTTCCCATTAACGCTGTCCATAGACGACCATCATTAATCCCTGAGAAAATGCTGCTGCTTCTGCTTGGAATAACTTTACTTCCCTTTTCTGTATGACAAAATCGTATACATTCTTCAAGACCTAGGTTCAAGTCATCTTCCCTTTATAAGACCTTCTCTGACTTCCCTCCTCTTTGGGTTGAATTTATGTCTCCTTTCCACAGTCATTTTTACATATTATTGCCCTATCACTTCAATTCTAATTATTTGATGTGTTTCTCTCTCAGTAGACTGTAAGCTCTCAAGGGCAGGACTGTCAAGTGTCCCTTCTTTGCAGCTCTAAATATCATGCACATAGTTGATACTCTGTGCATGTGGAATAAACAACCCTTTGGGCTCGTGCACAATCCTTGCTATATCAATTCTTACAGGTTCTTTTTGAACACTTTCATGGTGAGGAGCACATCTTCCTGTTGAAATTCTAAGAGCTCAGGCTCTGACATTTGTTAGGCTGTTCCAATTGCCTGTGAGCCACAACCCAAGATCCAAAGTACTTAACTTCCCTGAACAACTGTTTTTGTATAAATATAATGACTAACAATAATATGAACTTTATAAGATTATTCTGGCTGGGCGCGGTGGCTCATGCCTGTAATCCAAGCACTTTGGGAGGCCGAGGCAGGTGGATCACTTGAGGTCACGAGTTTGAGACCAGCCTGGCCAACATGGAGAAACCCCATCTCTACTAATTAGCCAGATACGGTGGCGTGTACCTGTAATCCCAGCTACTTGGGAGGCTGAGGAAGGAGAATCACTTGAACCCGGAGGGTGGAGGTTCCAGTGAGCCAACATAGTGCCACTGTACTCAGCTTGGGTGACAGAGCGAGACACCGTCTCAAAAAAAGAAAAAAAAAGAAAAAAGGGATTATTCTGAATATTAAATCAGATAATATACCTGAAAAGCTTTTAGAAAAGAACATGGTCATCAATAAATATTAGCCATCCTCATCTTCATCATTAGAACTGGTTACTAATTTTTTTTTTTTGAACAACTCAGCAAAATAAAATTCCTGTTTATTGTTGGACAACATTGTTTCACACATACATCAAACAGGCCAAAAAAAAAAAAAATAGCAACTTCATAGACAAAAAAGGGAAAAAGCAAACCTTTTATCTTTGGCCTTTTTAACCATCTCATACAAACCAACTACTTATAGTACAGCTAAGTACATACACAAAAAAGTTACTGGAATGCTCGGAATAAGATTGTTTTTCTGTTGTCGTTTTTGCTTTTTTTACAAGTTTTTTTTCTCCTTTGAGATTATAATGAACATAGTCACACCACAAGTAAAGTCAGCTCTGAAGGCTGGTTTGGTCATCCGAGATCATTAAAAATGGCTGACCCTAACAGTATGTACAAAAATATAAAATGTAAATAAAAAATACAAACAAATTTCCTTTTTAAAGTACTTTTAAGAAAAAAATCAGGGTCTTGGAAGTTTTGGTTCTTTTTTCCTCCCCTGTTGCAAATTCTCATCGTTTGGGTTGGGCGGTGGAGAGCGCGTGTCATCTGCAGGTGGCACTGCCCACGGTGGGGGGCGGGCGGGCCTCTCTGCTCGCAGGTGACCACGTTTAGATTCTGAGACGGGAAGTGGAGGGTGAATAGGTCACAGAGGGCTTTTTTTTAGTTTAACTTTTACTTTTTTGCTATCTAGTCATCCTCGTTTGTCTTCTGCTTCTTGGTATCAACATCGTCATCCTCATCATCTTCACCTGCCCGCCTGCCCATAGCTGACTCAGCTTCCTCATCTTCATCTCCATCCTCTTCCTCACCATCACCTTCTTCTTCCTCCTCCTCTTCCTCCCCACCTTCTTCCTCTTCCTCATCTACCTCATTGTCAGCCTCTTGCTCCCCATTTTCCTCATTCTCAGCATTCCCGTTAGCAGGGGCGTCTCTTCCATTTTCTGCCTCTTCCACAACTTCCTTCTTCTCCTTTAAGTCCTTGGTGGTGATTTCGGAGCTGGTGTCTACGGCTGCGTCTGACATGGTGGGGCACGCCCGTGATCCGATGCAGGGGATTAAAAAGAAAGCGAGAGTTCAGCGACTCTGGCGATAAATCTGCCCGAGTCCGCGGAGCGAGGAGGCAGACGAGGAACAATGCGAAGATGGCTTTTCAGAGCAGCCAGTCTGGTGATTAATTTTATTTTGTGTGATGACTGCATCTCTGCCTACGCAATGATCATTCTGTCCTGCAGAGCTACTCAGAATAGGCCTTGATTCCACCCCAAAAGCGTTCAAGCATTCTAAGGTAGTTCAATACACATTCTCTGCTGCACGCTGCATTGCTTCTCTGAACGTAAGCATTCTCTGTTAGACCATCTCTCTGGCGCATCATAGGTACTCACTTAGTATTTGTTAAATAGATGTTGACTGTAAAATAGCTTCCCTATACTTTTTTATGCTAAATGCTTTCATATCTTGTTAAGGTATATTTTAAAACATCTGCGCCCGAACTAAACACAGTGAAGGCACCCTTCCTTTCTCTTGCTATCTTGCTTGTATTAAAGCAGGCTAGGTCTTTAGGATGCAGGTTGTGGTAGAAGTCCCTTACTCATGGGCAGGCTTGGTTTCCTCTCTGAGAGCTGTGGATAGGACACCATCAGTGAACTCTGAGTGATTGGATACTGCACAGGCAGATAATATCTACTCTAACTGAATGGTCAAAATTCTTAGGGATCATGTCACCTACCTCTCAACCCTCAAGAGAGTTGAGACTTAGATCTGTTGACAGCTGATGACTCACTTTGTTCTGGCCTTGCTGAAGGAAGCACAGAAGTTAAAGGAAAACATTTTTTTCATTGTTTTATGAGACAGAGAATGTTGTAAAATTTTAAAAATGTCTTCTCAATGAACAAAAGTAGTATCATCTAATTATACTACTTAGCACTGGAGAACATGTAGTTAGCTCTTGGTCATTGATTTTATCACAACATCAAAAATGTATTTTTAAGAGAATCAATATAATATGCTTTCTTTAAAGAAAAATTAGTAAAGTGCTGTAAACTACTCAGATATATAATTTTGTATCCTCTGTCCATTAATTATTTGTATTCATTTAGGTATAGATTTGACTGCATATAACAGGAAAAAAAGGAACTTTTAATGAGATAGAATTAAAAAAGTTCAGGGGCAGAAAGTCCAGCCCTGATGGAGATATTCTATATCTGTGCAGTTCAATATGGCAATGCTTCTGAGCATTATGGTATAGGGAAAAAATATGGTAGTGTCTATAGAGCACTTGAAATATGGCAAGTGAGACCCACAAAGTGAATTTTTAATTTATTTACTTTTAATAAGTTAATCTCAATAGCCACATGTGGATGACATACTGGACAACACAGCTCTAGCATTGCATTTCTATTCCAGGGGACAGGAAAAGAGAAAGGAGGGGGAAAACTGATCACTTTCCCTTTTAAGAGATTTTCCAAAGGTGCCATATAGCGCTTTTGCTTTCATCTTACTTGATAACAATTACTAGCGTGGTGAAACTTAATTACAAAGGGGGCAGGGAACTATAATTTTTTTTTTTTTGAGACAAAGTTTCACTCTGTTGCCCAAGTGGAGTACAGTGGCACCATCTCGGCTCACTGCAACCTCCCCCTCCTGGGTTTAAGCGATTCTCGTGCCTCAGCCTCCTGAGTAGCTGGGACCACAAATGTGTGCCACCATGTCCGGCTAATTTTTGTATTTTTAGTAGAGACAGGGTTTCACTATGTTGACCAGGCTGGTCTCGAACTCCTGGCCTCAAGTGATCCACCCCCTCAGCCTCCCAAAATGTTAGAATTACAGGTGTGAGCCACCACACCTGGCCAACTATAATCTCTTATAGTGTGTGGAGTTGTGTTCAGCGAAAATTCAGGGTTCTGTTCTGTTCCTAAAGAGGAAGAGGAGAATGGGTGTAAGGATTGGCATAGAGTCTCAGGCACTTTACACAATTTCTATGTAATTATAATTTTTTCATAAATGAGGTTTGCAGTATCAGAGAGTCTCATTGTTGCCTAATTCACTTAATTATTCACTCATTTCAGGACTTTTAAGGTCATTTAATAATTTACTCAACAAGACTCACTGAGCATATGTTACATGCCAGGTGTTGTTCTAGAGATGTGGTGGTACTTAAGACAGAGACCATTCCTGCCTTCATGGAGCTTGCTTTCTAGGTAGACATTCTGTTTTCTGAAGCTGCTGTGGTCTGGATCAGCATTGCCAATAGAACTTTCCGTGATAATGGAAGTGTTCTTATTGTACGAATACACGCTAGTCCCTAGCCACGTGGCTACTGAGTCCTTGAAATATTTCTAATATGACTAAAAAACTAAATTTTAAATTTTAGTTAATTTTAATTAACTAAGTAGATATAAATAGTCACACATGAGCAGTGGCTACCAAACTGGGCAGCAAAAGTCTAGAGCACTTCAATGTTTACTTCTGCTTCAAACTTGTAGCTCTTACTCAGGGTCAGCAGCAAGACTGCCCTTGTCCCTGGCACAGTGATGGCTCTGTGGCTTTAATTTCAGGCTTTCACTAGTCAGCTCTTCTAACTCACCCTCACATGGTCATCGGCTCACCACCCCTCACCCCGGTGAGATGCCAAGGTGGCTGGAGAGAAGGGGCACAGTGCCAGCCCATGCCATTCCCAGTCCACCTTGCCCCTTTGTCTCTCCACCTGCACTTCAGGAATGAACTTCAGGCCTGTGTGACCTCCTGTCCCATGATTAGCAACTTCTTACAGGGACCTTTTGCATCATTTGACACAGCTGACTAGTCTCTCCTGGAAACTATACGTCTTTGTTTCCATGATCCCATTCCCTCTCGGTTCCTTTCCTAGCACACTGGCCGCTCTTCTCAGTTCCCTTTGCCGATGCCTTCTTATTTCTCCAATTTCTAAGCATCTCTACCTGACCCAGGGCTTCATTTTCAAACCCCTGCCCTACCTACTCGAGGAGTTCCCATTGAATCTCCCAGCTTTAAATAACACTCATGAGTTTATGACTCTCAAATTTATAGCTTCAGCCTGGACGTCCTCCCTGAACTATGATGTATATACTCAACTGTCTACTCAACACCTCTGCTGGGAATTTTGAAAGGTAACTTCACTTAATGTGTCTAAAAACGGAACTATCTTCCCCACTCCCCTGCTTTTCCCACAGTCATTCCCAGCTCAGTAAATGCAACTCTGGTCCAATTGCTGAAGTCTAAAACCTTGGAGGTGTCCTTGATTTCTCTCTTTTTCTCACTCCTTGCAATAAAAGACCAGAAAATCTTGTTAGTTCTACCTTCAAAATACGTCCAGAATCTGCCTACCTCCTAAAATCTTCATTGCTACCATGCTGGCTCAAGTCACAGTCATCTCTTGACTGGCTTATTGTAATGGTCTCATGACTAGTTTCATTGTATTTCCCACTTTACTTCATTCTTCTCAAGACAGCAGCCAGAGATCCTAGTAAGAGACGACCTTTCCTTACTACCTTATGTAAATAATATCCACCAGCTTTCCCCATCATACTCAATCTGTTTTATTCTTCTCTGTAGAACTTGTTATCTGATTTGCCTATCCAGTTTTATTGGTTTACTCTCTGTCTCCATTTCCATTATGTGCTGGTGGGGATATAAAGGGTGCAACCTCTACACGTCTAGGCACTTTGTTTCTTCACTGCCAAATCTTCAACACCTAGAACAGTGCTTGGCACTTAATAGGGCTCAATATTATTTGTTGAATGAACGAATGAATGGGCAAATGACATCTCCTTCAGAAGAAATTCTCATCATATTACATGATTATGACCCACTTTCATCATTGATGGGGAGACTGAAGCACAGGGAGACTAAATGATTTCTGTTTTTATTTTTATTGTTTTGAAGACAAGGTCTCATTCTGTTGCCCAGGCTGGAGTACAGTGGTGCAATCATAGCTCACTGCATCATTGAACTCTGGGGCTCAAGGGATCCTCCCACCTCAACCTCCTGAGTAACTAGGATTGCAGGCACATGCTATTATGCCCAGCTAATTTTTTTTTTTTTTTTTCGTAGAGATGGGATCTCACTATGTTTCCCAGGCTGGTCTTGAACTCCTGGGCTCAAGTGATCCTCCTGCTTTGGCTTCCCAAAGTGTTGAGATTACAGGTGTGAGCCACTGCGTCTGGCCCCAGACTAAGTGACTGTATACGTGAATACATGAATGTTAGAATTGAAAGGCACAGTGAAGATAATCTAGACAAACTCCGTCATCTTATATAGAAGTGGAAATAGGGGAGGATGGAGAGGAGAAATGGCATGGTCATAGTTAACCACTGGACCCAAGCTAGCACTCAGGTATCCTGACTTCCTGTCCAGACCTCTTTTCTTCTCTATTTACTCTTGTATTTATTCTCAGTAGTCGAATCTGGGCAAAAAGTCCTCTTCATATCTTACCTACAACTTTCTTCTCTTACTACCTTGTTACTGGTTGCAAAAACTTTATGGAAATCTCATTAAACTAATTGAAACCGATTTCGTACTTTTCCTCAAGTTATTTGACAAAGTTTTACTCTAGAGAAGAGAAATTCCATGGGGAAGTCAGTCTCTTGACGATAGTATGTGGCTTACTTTGTTTTAAATAGTTCAAGGATCTTGACATTTAATCATAGCCCTTGGACTTTGAGTAGGGGGATAGCTTTTCTGCATCAAACAGGATTGGAGAATCTTTGGGTTTGCTGCTTCCTGTGGTGTTTGTTTATTTCTTAGATGTTCTAAATTCAAATATTAACCATGATACCGATCCCCTGAATTTTCCTTATTTGTGTGATTTATCTTAGACAGTGTCTACTTTGTTTTCTAAAAGCCCTCAGGACCGTTGGTGATTTTTCCTTGGGGACAAAGTCTGATCATTGAATTGCAGTAGCAACCACCATCCAGTACCAATAGAAGGCAGCCTAATGTTGTTGGAAGAGCACAGGTTCTGAGTTAGTAATCTGGCAAATAACTAGTGTGTGGCCTTGAGAAGCACGTTAATCCTGCTGTGCCTCTGTTGCCTCACTGATAAACAGAGGAAGTTGGAGTAAAATCTCTCTACCTATGGTAGATTGTAATATTTTTCAGTTATGCCTTCTAACTGGTAATT